TTGTGTGATTGAATGAGAGGTAAAAGGCGTTTTTGTAAACACTCTTTAACATATATTTGACCCGAAAGTGTGGACTGAGAAATATAAGGTGCTGATTTTTGCCACAACTACAAATAGCTTGCCAAATCGAGACTTTTTTAGCAAACTTGTCGTGTTTTATGTACTTAAATTTCTTATCTGCTTTTCCTCTATATTTGGCAATATAATAGACGGCACCAGGAATTTGCTGATGATCGTACTTGATATAAGTTTCATCGTCTTCAATAATACAGAAATTTTTAGAAATAAAATTGTCATACAACTTTCTGCAGCGGGTATTTGTACTTTTTTGTCGAGTTTCAAATCGGTTAAGCACTATTTGTGCTTTGAAAGAATGAAAACCATGTTTATTTCGAACTTTTACAACAAAACTATGAGAAAGTCCATAAATGTTTGCGCGCTCCCTTAGTGAAAGGCTTGGGTTAGTCTTAAAACTGTTAACCAGTTTTCTAACTAGTTTTTTATCTTTAAAACCCTTCTTTTTTTCACCACCAGATTTACGTTTGATCGATTTTATTTGAGAAAAACGTTGGATTACACGACTAACGGTGTATGGATGTATTTGCAACGCTTTTGCTATCGAATTGCTGCTATTGGGACTTTCCAAATATTTGTGCATAATTTTTTCTCCTATGTCTTCTTCTTTTGTCATTTTTAAACCTAATTTTAAGTTAAATCAAAAAACTAATACATTTTTTTGTAAACAAAATACAAAACAGTTAAAAAGATTTTATTATAACCACTGAAAAAAAACGACGTACCTTTTCTTTCACATTTATTTCGTGTACACGCTTTACAAGGGGTACAACCTGCAGCTCGCAAGCCTCTTGTGATTCTTTCAATGTCAAGAAGAAGCTTTTTAGCTGCATCTTGACATCAAAATATTATTATCTTGACATGCACAAATATTAGTATAATCAGGGATGCGAAGTCCCAAAAGGACTCCGGTTTTATATCTCTATTTTTTACTGGTCTCTAGTGTCCAAAAGCTCTGGACACTAGAGACCAGTAAAAACTTGTTGGTTGATGTATAATCTGCTAAATAAAAAAACTCATGAAATTTAATGACTTGAAACACATTATTTTTAAGCTCAAAGTCCCAGAGTAATAGCCGCCATTATACTTAAGGACTCTGAGGTCAAAATGAGATTGTTCCTCTAACCTAACTTTTTTACCAATAGTATCCCATAAACGTTTTTATATTATTAGAGCACCTGGATAACAAAAACTAGGAAGAAGTAATTTTTTTGTGACATTCAAATCCGTTTTTCGGGACTCCGCATCCTTAAATATTTATACGGCCGTAGCGCAGTGGTTAGAGCGCTTGTTTTATAAGCAGGAGATCCAGGTTCGAAACGAGCTTTGGACCTATTTCGCGTCACGGTAAGGAATGAGGTGTGAACTTCCTGGTTAAATGTACTTCCACTGTGCTCTGTGACAAGACCATTAGGTCATCTTGGGGCACCTAAATAATAAATTCAAAAAAATATATACAATTTTAAAATAAAGATAATGGTAGCTCTTTAAAAACTGAAAAACTTTGTATTTTGTGACTTTCGGCTCTTCCATCTCAAAAGGTTGCCAAACCTCTGGTTTATACAATTTGTTATATGCTTTTTTTTTTTTATTCTATTACTCTATTAAAAATAATTGGCTTTCACTGTAAGTTTGTATTAGGTCTTATGTTAAAGTTAGGAGAATTTTATTAACTTGAAATATGATTATAATTTAAATGTATACAAATTTTTGTGAACCCTCTAATCTTTTTTTCAGAGTAATTCTTTGTATTTTTAATTTGAAATTATGTTTATAAGTTAAAAGTTTAAACTTTTTTTCTATACTTTTTACTTTAATTCACTTTTTGTTGAGAGCAAGCATTTGTAATTTTAAATGATTATATTCATTTGAAAACATGTTCATAAGATAAATTTGAATACATTTTTTTTCTAAACATTTCACATTGAGCCACTTTTTTGTTTCAGTTATCTAAACTAGTCAATTTAAAACATTTTTTTTTTTTTGGGGGGGGGATTATCGAATGTTAACGTAATTTTATACGGGGTCACTGAAAGTTTGACAAGTTGTTGACAAGGGGAAGGAGGGAGGTAAAAATTGCCAAAAAATTGTTGACGTAGTTAAACAGCCCCATAAATATAACAATAAAAATATACATCAATATATGTATGTATATATGTTGGACAAAGTTGGACTTATATTTAACATAAATCGGCTGTTAATTCCAGATCAACTAGGCTCCGTACATTGTCATTGTACGTGTACACAGTTATTAAATAAATATAAACAATATATTCACTATGCAAAAGTTAAAAAATTTTTCTTATTCTTTTTTTTCCATGACATTATTGTTTCTAGCAGATTAACGTATTTCATTTCGTTTTTTTTTTTTTTTTTTTTTTTTACTTAACATTTTCGAACTATTTTTTCTTTTAACAAATTATTTTTTCTATTTGGTACGTTATTTTGACTTTTTATTTATCTTTATTTGTTTATATCTTTTGATCTTGTTTTTACTTCATTTTGTTTTATAATTTGATATTTATAAAATGGTATTTTGATTTTTTTTTTCTTCATTTTTTTAACGTTAAATTAAAACATCCGCCATTTACGATGTCATTGAAATAATTATATATAACCTGATGACGCTGACCACAATAGGTCAGCGAAATATCATAAGTATATTATTATATCAAAGTATATTTAAAAATAGGTGTCTTTTTATTGAAATCAACTTACATATGACATATATATATATATATATATATATATATATATATATATATATATATATATATATATATATATATATATATATATATATATATATATATATATATATATATATGTCATATAGAATGAGAGAGAGAGAGAGAGAGAGAGAGAGAAAGAGAGAGATTAACTCAACTCTAAGACAATAAATCATGGTTGTAAAGCCTACTGCAAGTCAATTTTTATCTTAAGTTGCTACTTTTCTAGTCGACATAACATTTTTTAGAACATTAAGATTGATGAAAATAGAATTACAAAAAAATCTATGTAAATTTCTATTACCATAAATGTTTTTTAATAAAGCGATTTTAGTTCCTTGATATATTTTTTATAAAAATTCCTTGAGAGCAACATTCTGTTAAAAAAAAAAAAAAAGGCAGAACTCAATAGTGAATCTTCAATATTTTTTATTGTTTTCAATCTTCAATATTTTTTATTGTTTTGATGCTTTTTTTATTATTAACAAAATTTTATGAAAAACAATTGTTTGTTTTCCAGATATTTGACTTAAAATTTTATTTTTATGAGAAATTAAGGGGTTATTCTCAAAATAAATAAACTCAGAAACGGAGTTTTAGTCAGCGCGAATTTCGTGAACTCATAATGACCATAATTCTGGGTTTACTTAAAAAGTTTTTTAAAAAAAAAAAAAAAAACTGTGTATCATCGTTTCATCTACCAGGCTCATAAAAAATAACCTTCGGGTAATCTGTCATAGTTTGGCAAAAGGAAGCATGTTACAAAACCATACAATGCTAGGCAACGAAATAATAAAAACATATAGATATAGTTTAGCGTGTTTTTTTTTTTTTTTTAATGTAGTAATACGCTTCTTGTGATGAAAAATATCATAACTCCCCTTATGGTAGAACTGTATCATACAACTTTTTTCTAATTCACGACAGTATTGCAACATTGAAAAAATATAATAACATGTTTAACATAAATTTTTTTAATGATTATGAAATGCCGTCTGAAAGCATCAGATTAAGAAGTTCAGAGCTCAATTGTATCTTTTTTCAAAAGTTTATTTTTTTAAATATGTTGGTGCTATTTATACTAAAAGATCAATTCGAAAGCTTTTCGGTTAAAAATCTGAAACGACTGTAAAAACTATTTAGTAAGAGGAATAAAATTTCACGACTCAGGAATGGATGGAACCATAACTCACGCTCTAGTCATCTTAAATAAATGATAAAGCAATCCCCTATGTGTTAACAAGTCCATATAAAACTACTGGTGTATTAATCACCTACATGACTAAAAATATCGTACAATAAAAACAATAAGATAAATAGATGTTAAAACTTTAAAAGATAATAAAGGATTGTACAGACAATATAAAATCAAAATAGAATATGTGCACCCTTCCAGGTTCGAATCTTCAATATACGACGCAGCGCGCTAATCCACCATGCTATAGTGTTGATATGCAATTATCTAAAAACAGTCTAATATGTGTGTTACTATTTATAGTCTAAGCACTAAACAGTTAATTAAAAAGTGATAACCACCATTGTCACAACAATTCATGGGTGTGAGAAGTAAAAAATCATAGTGTCATTACAAACAGTTAGAAACAAGTAATGGATGAATGTAAATCTAATATCAGAAACTGATTTGCATTTAGGTTTCAAAGTAAAATGAAATAAACTAAACTGTTATGCAAACTATTTAAGCATATTTTTGGCATCTATTAAGCCCATATTTTTATTTTAACTAGACTTTCTTCTAGCTTTTCCGACCCCCACCATTCCATTTAATTATTATGCATTAGAGCTATTTACTGATTAACATATTATGCATTAGACTGCATTACTGATGCATTAGAATGCATCCGTATGCATTCATGCATAGAATGCATACAGTATGCATTAGAATGCATACAGTATGCATTAGAATGCATACAGTATGTATGCATTTTAATGCATAGAATGCATGCAGTATGCATTGGAATGCATTACTGATTAACATATTATGCATTAGAGCTATTTACTGATTAACATTAAATGTAGTTTGTTCCATAGTCAAGTTTAAAAATGCTTTTGGCTTTAGTGTATAAACAATTTTAAACTTTAGTATAAAAATTGTTGTATATACACTATTGTATAAATATAAACTATTGCATATACACAATCAAATGCAGCTTTTTTAAAAGTTAATATTTATCTTACCAACATTTCCACTAAATATTTTAAGATCTTTAATAGTGCCAGGTTGAGCTTCATACCAAGGATCTGCACTATACACTTTAACATTTTTAAATGAACGTGGATCTGTGTTTTTAATATCAATATTTAACTTTCCATTTACATAAACTTTAAAGAAGTATATACTGTTAACTCGAACTTGAGATACTCTAATGCTGGACCATTCATTCAAGGGTAGTGCTTTAGGTGTGACGACTTCAAAATTAGGATATCCATTGATTGCAGACCAAACAGAGAGCTTTCCTGTATCATAAAAAAAATAAACGCTTGGAGTTCTATATCCAAATTCATATGAGTCTCCTCCAGTGGTCAAATGAATAACGCTTCTGTATGCTGCTGAATACAAGGTGGGTTTTATTTTGAATGACAATAAATATGCTTTTTCAAGGAATCGTAATGTTGCAATTAGATTATCTTTTTTTAATAGCACTTCATGAGTCACTTCAACAAAATCTATGATGACAAAATGTTTTAATCAAAAAATTTATTCAATTTTGATGTTTCATTTAAACTACTTTTTTCAAAGTGATTTTTTAAGAATTTCAACACCAAAATTTAAGTTTACAGAAATATAAGTTTTAAATAAAAATACTGTTTATATTTTGATAATGCTAAATGCGTTTGTACGTAAATTTGATTAGTTAATAAATATGTATATTTGATAAGTTAATAAATATGTTTACCGAATTTGCAATCATCTATTTTTATATAAAAAAAAAAGAAAAAAAAAAAAAAGAAAAAAGAATTTGGTTAAAAATCTTTTTTCATATTTTTTAACATTTACAAAGATACATTTTTTTTAAAATAAATTTTTGTTTAAATTTCGAAAATCTATTTTATAAGTTTAGTTAAAATTTCAAATATATGTTTTATACGACTGCGTATCTTATAAACAAAAATTTTTCAAATATATTTTTTATTTTTTTGAAAAACAAAATTAAAAAATGAAAACCTTGCACATAGAAACTTCAGATTGATACTTAATGAAGTTACTTAGTTATTATCAAATCTTGTTTTAAAACTCTGTAACATTCTTTGCATCTCTTGATGTGCTTGTCTTAAATTAATTTTTTTAAATTGTGCACAAAAACGTTTTGAGTGTTACTCTTGGTGAAGAGTTACTCATCACCTTGCGTTAGTTTTTTAACCACAGCTAATGTAATTAAAAAGCAGCATATATAACTTTCGTAGTGTCGACTCTTTTCAATTTTTTTATTTTTCATTAAAGTTTCTCTATAAAACACTTTTCATAATTCTTTCAAGTCTTTTTGTGAAGTGTTGCAATATTTGGTACGGTACTTGGTGTATATATATATATATATATATATATATATATATATATATATATATATATATATATATATATATATATATATATATATATATATATATATATATATATATATATATATACATATATATATATATATATACATATATATATATATATATATATATATATATATATATATATATATATATATATATATATATATATATATATATATATATATATATATATATATATATATATATATGTATATATATATATATATATATATGTATATATATATATATATATACACGTCTTGGTTATGTAAAAAAAAAAATGGACATTTTATTCATAGCGTTACGTTACAGTGTTACGTATTGTCAAGTAAAATGTTAAATTTTGGTTACATAAAATAACGGATAATTTACACGTAAGAACTCAATCAATCAATTCATATATTCTGAAATAATTGTTACATTCACGGAAGTTTACATATAGTACATGTACTAATATTTTGTAAAAACCTTGCAAATAAAAGCTAATAAATATATTTTTAGTGCTAATAGTATTAATAGTTGTCCGCAGCAGTAACAGAACAAACATTAAAAGTTAAAGGAATAAAAATACTAAAAGTGATAATAATAAAAGTGGTAGTAGTAACATTAAAAACAATACAATGACAAAAGTAAAATGATAATAAGTAAAATAAAGTGTCAAAATTAAAAATAATTAAAATGATCATAACAAAATTTATAGTGATTTAGTATTAGTCATACATACACGTATATAAAGACATATATAAATACATTAAACGCATATACTTAAATCCCCCTGTATTCAATACAGGTATGTATACAATAGTTGTATGCATACATAATATACACCCATATATGTAGATTCGTTTATACATACATGTACATACATACACATATATATATTTATACATTTATATATATATATATACATATATATATATATATATATATATATATATATATATATATATATATATATATATATATATATATATATATATATATATATATATATATATATATATATATATATATATATATATACACATATAAATATATACACACATACATATCCGTGCATAAATATTTACATACATACTTATGTACTCACAATTGTTCACATGTACTTCTCATATACACTTATACACAGATACATATCTTTGCATTTATTAACTCTATTTGATTAGGAAGGAATGGAACAACTTGTTTTTAAAAATATAGATTGAATGGAGAGCTTTTAGGTTAAAAGGAAGGTTGTTCCAAAATTTTATAATTTAGTTTTTTATGGACTTATATCCAAAAGTAACAGAGCGATATTTTAAGACTGCAAGGTTCAGATTATCAATTGATTGAAGGTAGTATCGGTTATTTGGATTTGTGGGGGAAAAATTGATAAAGGTAAGAGGTTTTTGTGTTGGTGATTCCATTCAACATGGCAATTCAAGAATTGAACAAGGTCACATAGTTTAAGAATCTTAGAAGAAAGATAAAGCACATCAGAATTGAATTTATAATACTAAAAATATATTATTTTTAAAGCTTAGTTTTGAAGATGGGATATCCTTAAAACTGCTTGCTGTTGAGATTGTTTCCATATTTGACAAGCATATCGTATATGTGAGCCACAAATGGCGTGATATATATTTAATAGTGTTTCCAGATTGACATAATTGCGAACTTTAGCCAGCATTCCATTTAATCTGCTTAATTTTAATGGCTAAGATTGGATACAAACGATAGGTTTGAATCAATTCCAATTCCAAGATACTTGATTGAGTTTAAAAGAATATTTTCTGGCCACTTAATCTAAGGTTTAAATTATTATTGACTTTTGTTTTGTTACATTAGATTATGACCGGTTCAGTTTTGCTACAGTTGAGAGAAGGCTTATTTGTGCGAAGCCACTGAACTAAATTGGCAAGATCATGATTAATGTATTTAATGATTTTTTTAAAGATTTGTTGATAATAAGCAAGTTTGTATCATAAGCAAAGTGGTTAGGAGTTGCAAATTTTGAGTTATTAAGGTCATTAATATAAAGACAAAAAAGTAGTGGTCCTAATACTGAGCCTTGAGGGACATCGTTGGAACAATTTATCTGAGTAGAATTTGACTCATTGACTGATAGAAACTAAGATCTGTTGTGAAGATAGGAGGTAAACCATTTAAAAGGTATTCTTCTGATTCCATAATATTCTAATTTTTTTAGTAGGATAGAATGATCTACTGTATCAAAAGCTTTTTGTAGATTTACAAAGGCACCACATGCAAAGTTTTTATCATCAAGAGCTTTTGTAATTGACTTTTGTTTTTATCATCAAGAGCTTTTGTAATTGTTGTGGAATGATAAGCACGAAACCCACACTGGTGTTTATAAAGGCATTTATATTTATTCTAAAATGCATAGAGCCTCTTATGCATAGCTTTTTCAAAGAGTTTGCTCAGCTTTGAAAGAAGAGAAATAGATTGGTAGTTAGACATATCCATTGGGGAACCTTTTTTAAATATTAGAATGACTTTAGCAACTTTGAAAGCATCTGTGAATAAACCGTTTTAAAATGAGTTATTTATAACAACACTGAGAGGTTTAGTTAATATGTCTCGAATAAGTTTAAGAAGGAATGTAGGATGGCTATTAGGAACAAAACTTTTTCCAGTTCTAAGGGTGCTTTTAATAAGATTAGAGATTTCATTCTCTATGATAGGATCAATAAAGAACGAATTAGAATTCAGAGAGTTGTAATCATTAAATTTGGGTGTTTAAGGTATGATTTTACTTTGAAGTTTGTTTTGGATAGTTACAAAAAAGTTGTTTAACATATTCGATGCAGTAGTTTGACCTGTGATGATACTTTCTTTCAATTTAAGTTTGAGAGTTGAAATATAGTAGGAAGGTTTTATATAAATGATTTTTTGTATCTCTTTCCAAGTATTCTTAATATTGATTAAGTTTTTACTAAAATAGTTCGTTTAACAGGATTTTTTACTAATTTTCTGTAGATTGCTGGTTCTGTTTCTATAAAATGTGAATTTAGAAAACAACTCATTTTTAGTACTAATATCTTTACATTTTGTGCATTTTTTATATGATCTATTTTTAATGGAAGTATTTTAAGTATGCCATTGGTAATCCATGGCTTTGATTTAAGTTTATTTTTCTGCTTAGTTTATTTCTTGTATATAGCATGATGGTCTAATATGTCTTCAAATGTCTTTAAAAGAAAATTGATTGATTTTCATCATAATCTTTTTAGGGTGCTTAGTTTTCCTAGGAATGCAGATAAATTTAGCCATATGATCAGATGTTCAAATAGCAGAATGTAATGAAAAAGAAATAAGGTTGATAAATATAGAATTTGCGAGTTAAGGTAGCTAAATATAGAATTTGATTCATTATATTTTAGTATATATGTATTAAAACCCCAAACTTTTTTTCAATATTTAACTTATCTAATAGTGGAGTTAAATAATTACCTGTGGATTTATCTTTATTCATGTATGGATGTTGATATATGCAACCAATTATTATTTTTTAAGTAAGGCTTTATAGTTTCAACAAAATTGGGTTCAAGATATGTGGATGAGTAAATCTTTAGGTCATTGAAAACTATGTAGTTTAAATTGGAGTTTAGATAAAGAAAAGTAACCCCTTTTTTAGCATCAGTCGGGCAATGCTCAATGTTAAAACCATTTATAGATATGCTTGTTATATTTATATCATTTACATATAAATTTGACTCAGTAATACCTATTGTCACAAGTAATGTATCAAGAGTGCTAATAAAACTGTATAGATCATCAATATGATATGATAAAGAGATGAATATAAAAACCTGAATTTACGATTAATTTTTTCATTGAAATCTATGGTGTAATTGTATTTTCAATTAATTGAACCTTGGGGATTATTTAAATCTAAAATTAAGTTTCGTGGATTTGATGTGTTATCAAGAGAATATAGTAAACTAGTGTTCTTGTGCGATAATATTTGCTCAAGCTTAAGATCAGAAGAAGAGCCAAATTGAATGTTCTTAGATGGCATAATAAAGTATTAGGAGTGTAAAACAATTTGTTATACTTAGTATGGATCTAAAAAACAATGGAGTTTGTTAGATGAATTATAGCTTCTAAACAATAATGTAAAATAATAATAAATTCAATGAGATGAGAGATAATAACGCAGTGGCTATAACACATACATAAAATATAAGAAGTCTACAACAAAAGTTATAATAAAAAGTACCAATAAGTATATAGCAATAACTATAATAATAAATCGCAATAAACAATACTTTAAAAAATAAAAATAAGTAATTTTAGTACACAAACAACAATATTATGACAATATACATACCATAATATTATGTAAGTAGTAATGATAAATGAATATAAAGGTAGTGTACTTAATATAAATACACTTATAATAATAAGTGCTTAAGTAGTGAAAAAGAAAGAAAGAAAAAAAAATACTAATAATAATAATGCAAATAAAATATCATAAAATAAAATAAATTAACTTAAATGTTTTAAAGTTACGTTACAATACGTAACGTAACTTTAAAATATTATAGGGTTAACTTAATTGTTGTTACCCAGCAAGCACATAGTGTTATTTCAACGTTATTTCAACTTTGTGAAACGGTTGATAAATGGTTGAAAAATAACGATCTAAATTTCAACGTTAATTCGACATTTAAAAAAAAACGTTGAAATTTGAACGTTGATTCAACGTTTATTTTCAACGCGTTGAATTAACGTTGAAAAATAAACGTTGAAATTACGTTGAAATTTAGAAATTAGAGTTCGCCGACACAAATGATAATTCAAAATTAAATAAACTGAAAATTCGGAATTAAATAAAATTTAATATTTTACTTAGATTTGTGCGTGGGAAAGTTCTTTAAAAATTTTTAATAAAAGTCTTCAGGGCTGTCCCGAGGGGTGATGTGTCTGTTTTTTTGCCGAATAAATCCAAAAAAAATTTTTTTGATCGCTTTGGTTGGTATAAGTTTAACTAAAATGTGATGGAACTACAGGTATAATAACCTATTATATTTAAATGATTATTACATATATTTATAAGAGCAGTACTAAAGACCATTTAATCTTTATCAAATCTTATGTAAAGTATTTATTGTATTTTTTTTGTTAGCGATTGGTATAATAACATCAGGTGAAGTAAAAAAATATATAAACTGAATTGCAGGCGTTAACCTAACTCCAAAATAGTTGGATATTTTTGTTTTACCATTATTTTTTAAAATTATTTTGCTGCATTATTAAAATAAAATAAAGATGGCTTGCACAGTAGAACAGAACTTAAATTTAAAGTTTTAGTTAAAATAGCAAAAAATAGACTAGTTAGTGTAGCCTTTGATGATATAGGAGCTAAAGTATGCAATAAAGTCATTTTTAAATATATATTCTTTGTTTTGCGATAATGCTCATCCGGAGAGAGGAGCCACTCAATGAAGATCTAAAGAACAAAAAAAAAAAATTTTTAATGTATTTTTAATGTCAAGCTTTTCAACTGTAATGGAGTTTCAATTGAAATAAATAAATAAAATACATTCTGGTTATATAATGCATATGTCATTATATAAACATTATGAAAGTAACAAAAAATGTAAATTATGACTTTTTCAATTAATTTTTATTACTCTGCCATTATAGATAATTGTCTTGGACATGTCAACAGCGTACCATTCATGACAACTTTCTGCTAATATTTTTTTTTACACATAATATAATCTAAACCATCAAGTTGCATAGATGACAAATTGTTAAATAAATTTCTTATTTCTTCTTATTACTATTTTATTTATTATTATCAATAATATTATAATTATTTATTTACTTACTTCTATTAGTTGTTTAGTATTTTCTTATTTATAGTATTTATAAAAAAGTTAGCGCTTATAAAAAAAGAAAAAGTTATTAAAAGTTGCTTACAGCACGCTGAAATTAGAGCTAAGATTTCTTATAAACAGACTTCAAAACAGAAAGAAAATTATAAAAAAGAAGAAAGAAAGTTAGAGAAAAAGCTGTATATAAACAGCTTTTTGCCTAACTTTCCTCTCCTTTTTGTTTAGATATTTCAATATATCCGTTGAGTATCAAATCACATTTTTATAGACTAGTCTATATTGATTTCTCTACTAACTCTAACCTCTTAGTTGTATTCATGTCTGGTTTTTTAGACCTGGTTTATACTTTATAAAAAAGTGTTGGGTTGGTATCCCGCTTCATCCCGCCTTACTTCAAGCACTGTATGCAGTGCTTGAAGTGAGGTATTTTGAAAATAACTTTAATTTTAGGCGAGATAAGGCGGGATACCAACCCAACACCTTTTTATAATGTATAAACCAACCCGCTACTTTTTTGTAAATCTCTATATATAACAATGATTAGATGGGATGGTATTTTTAATTTACCGAATACCATTCTGTTACTTTTTTTCCTCCACTTTGAGCAATGTATGTATGTATATATACATTTATGTGTATAATTACATACATATATGTATTTATAAATACAGTTAATTACAGATATCTTGACCCTCCAGGGGACCAACGAAAATGGTTCTACCAAACGAGTGTTTGACTTAAGCAATGTATTACTGCCTAAAAGGTTTATATTATTTTTATATGCATTGATGTATGATGTTGATGTATAATGTATCTTTATCTAAATAAGTGGATATCTCTGTCAATAATGAAGTAAATTAGGCACGGATCAGTAACGAGTTGTTTTTTTTCTATAAAATTTGTTCTAAAAATGTATAAATTATTTTTATGGTTTGATTTGCTTTCAATAATTGCTTTTCAATTTCTATAATTTAGTAACCTGTGTTAAAAAAATTGTACAGGGCAGATTATTTGTAATACTATAACAACAGTTAGTATTATAATATAAAATGAACTAATAATACTTATAATAATAATAAGTAAAAGCTGTAAAAATTGAGAACAAGATGAGCAGTACAATAGCATAAGATATTGTAGTTTGACAGCTATTGTAAGTTTATGAAGAATACTGTTCCTTTTCTTACTCATAATAACACATAAGAGTCACGGCGCAAAAAGCTGTATTTTTGAGGTTTATAAACTTGTATATAAGTTGGTTAAATCAACGTTAAATCAACGTTAATCTAACATTGATTTTTGGTTTGTTTTCAACGTTGATCTAACTTTTTTTTCAACGTTGATTTGCGTTTCCATTTCAACTAAAAATAAACCATTTTTTAACCATAAATATCAGTAACGCTACAGGGGGGTTTCGATGGTTCCCAAAAACCGCTTTTTAAATTGTTAAAAAAATTTTAATCAACCTTTATAAAAAGATAACTCAACAAAGTAAAATTCAAATTTATATTTAACTAAAATATACTATTGTTTGTTAATGTTTAACTTATTATAATTTGGAAACCGCCATTTGAGCACTCCTTTTGATTTATTTTTTAATATTTTGTTTACTGATTAAGGTGTTACATAGGTAAAAGATACTAAAAAAATCAATTTTTGAAAACTGTACTTATTTTATTTAAAAATCACTTTAGATTCTATTTAGCGCAATATCGTAAAACCCCTGCCAAAAAAGTAAATATATAATATATAAATATGTACGCATTGGGTTTCACAAAGTAAAAACCAAGGATTCATAAAATTGGAAACTCCTTTTCATAAATCCTAATTGCGCGGCTGAATATCAACGGTTTTTCAACGTTGTTTCAACGTTGATTGTGCTTGCTGGGTAGTAACTGTTCTCTGGCTGTATATGGTTGAACTATATATTATTCAACTGTATACATTCATGAAACATGAATATTAATACAAAAAACATAAGAAAATACAAAAGAATAGCAATTTTTTAATTAATTTTTATCTTTAAAAAATAATTTCATTATATTTTTAATATCTAGTAACACATTATCAGAGTAGTTAATATAACATCAAATAGAGAAGTTTATAGAAACACGTTTTTAATCATAATTTAATAACAGAATCTAAGGGTGGAATGCAAGAAGCGAACTTGAGTCAAGCTCGACTTGAACTTTACATTGCAACCAATAGCGACAGAGTATGGGTTTTCCCCCTCAAAAATTACTCTGCCACTATTGGTTACAAACTAAAGTTCAAGTCGAACTTGACTCAAGTTTGCTTCTTGCATTTCACCCTAAAGTTAAGTAAAAATTACGCCACAATTCTTTTAAAATATGCAACAAAGAGTATTAAAAAAAAAGAATGCAGATGTTATTGATAACAAAATTTGCACAAAGTAACATCAATATAAAAATTTAGTTTTATAAAACCAGTCCTACCTTTTGCAACAAGCTCATCATTTGCCAAACAAAATTCATCTAAATTACATAGACAACTAATCTATATAAAGCATAGAAATAAATATATGTTTATATGCAGCATTGATGAACATCATTATAAAGCATGCTGAGCTTAAACAATAAAAAAATATTAATTACTTATTTTTTATAATTAACAAAGGATTTAGTAATATAAAACAGTAACAAAAACTATAGAAATTTATGTAAAAATTTCTTAAATGAATAAAAACATAACAAAAATCCAATGAAATTTCTTTTTTTTTAAGTTTTAGCAAAGTATGAGGTTTATAGGGAAAAGGTGGAGATTTTTTTATTCTATGATAACTGTTTTCTTGGTTTCATTAAACAGTTTCATAATGCGGTTAATCTCGTTCCAGAGGCTGTTTATGCAAAATCTCTTTCATGTAGATAATACAAATACAAATGAACTAAATAAGTTTTTTTTGCCGACTCGCAAGGATCAAGTAGCCCTGTCTATGATATGTTTTTTGAAAAGCACAAGTGGGATACTTGATTCCTCAACTTATTTCTCAGCTCAGCGTCTTTATTTTTCAAGGTTAACGTTTCGTAGTTATAGAGTTGAGAGAGGGTTGCAACTACAATTAAAGTAGCCTCTTTGGCTGTAGTGGCCTTCTTCGCGTTGGGAAGATAAATTAACATAAAAAATAAAAATAAAGTATTAATATTTGTATTATATTTGGTTCCCACTCAACAAAGTAAAATAAGTAAATTAAATAGTGATACAAACATAAGTACCTACTTGATTAAACAAAAAAACATATTGTAGTAATAAATTGAGCCAAAAAAGATATTTATTCATAAAGAATTATCATAAAACTTATGTTTAAATTTTATTATGCTTGCAGTCCTGACTGTTCTGCAGACAAATGGATGTAACAGCTTTTGTGTGTGAGCCTGATCCATTTTGATGATGTCCTCTACTTTTGGAAAAATAAAATAGCTTCCCACAAGTTTCATCCTCCTCAAGAAAGTTTTTTAAAAGTTCAAAAATTTAATTAAGTTTACAAGTTTTTTCAGCTTTTTTTTTTTTGAAGTATTTAAGGGATATAAACCTCCGAAAATTTTCAAAAAATCAAAAAAAATAACTGAACTGTTTTAGATACTTAAATATACGAGGAATTCAAAAATCATAGTGGCTATGTCTAAAATATTTTCTAACGAATAAAATTTTGCATTTTTTCAAGTTGTAAAAAATGTCGTTTTCAAATAGTAAATTTACTTCTTGTGGTACACCTAATAACTTAATGACATAAATGACTTCTGTAGCAAAGAAAGCTCGGTAATAAAAAGCCTATTTGGCTTCTGGTTTGATTTAAAAAAACTATCAGAATAAAAAGTTCGCTATTTGTCGAGATTTGGCTCAATTTTTATCAAAATTCCTTAATAGAAATTAACTTTTTTTAAATTTTTTATCATGGTAAAAATAGATAGAGTTAAATCAAGAACAAAACGAGCAGTAAAAAGAAAAAAGATTTTTAATGGTCAGGTGCTCAGTTGCAGTGATATTGTTAATATTGTAAATCCTCCTTCTTTAAGTGATAATATTGAATCTTTTGATGGTAATCAAACAGAGATCTTCAGTACGTCGAATTCTTCTTTTCATAAAGTTGAACCGTTTTTCAACTCAACACTGTAAAGTTATGCAAACTTAAAGTTTTTGCATATGCAAAGTGACAGGTTATAGAATAATTGACTGTTTTATTTTGTCAAATGTTGTAAGCGTTCTGAGTTGCCCAACTTGCTTCCAAACAACATTAGCAGTAATTGAAAATTAGCAAAAAGCGAGAACTTGCTTGTGAACTTTTAATTGTTTGTTCAAAATGTAAGTATCAAAATGACTTTTATACTTCTAAATTGTTAAATAAAAAAGGAACCTTTGATATAAATACACGATCAATATAAACAATGAGAACTCTTGGAATAGGACATTCTGGAACTCAAAAATTTACAACTCTCATGAACATACCAAAGTCAATGACGCAAAAAAACTATGATTAACTTGTTTTGAAAATAGCTGATATTACAGAGGATGTTGCGCAGGAAACAATGGCTGATGCTGTAGCAGATTTAAGACAAAATTCTCAAAATGATGATGTGATTTTGGATATTGGTGTATCGTGTGACGGCACATGACAGCGTAGAGTTTTTTCCTTATTGAATGGTGTATTTGCAGCAATCTCAATGGACTGTGGGAAAGTATTAGATGTTGAGGTAATGAGTTGAGTCTGCAGAGGGTGCACTTTAAATCAGAACCTTGCTAAAAAAGATCCTACTGCTTTTGTCCAGTGGAAAAATTCCCATATTTGCAAAATGAACTATATTGGTTCTGCAAGTGGAATGGAATGCGAAGGACCCAACCGCATTTTCGAGTGATCTATTAAAAAACACAAATTAAAATACATTAACTTTTTGGGTGACGGAGATAGCAAAAGCTACAATAGTGTCGAGGATGTTTATCCTGGCACTCAAGTGACTAAATTAGAATGTGTTGGGCACTACCAGAAGCGTGTTGGAACCGAAATTTGAAAATTGAAAAAAAAATGTGAAAGGACTTGGTGGTCGTGGAAGATTGATAGATTTGACAATTTATCGACTGCAAAATTTCTTTGGTTTGGCAATTAGACAGAATACTGGTGATTTAGTTCCCATGAAATCATCAGCGCTTGCAACTCTATTTCATGTAGCATCATTGAAAGTTAACAACTGACACTACCCAAATTGCCCAACTGATGCAAGTAGTTGGTGTAAATTCAACTGCGACAAAGTAAATAGGACCAATACCAGAAATAATATCAGAATTACAATTTAATAAGAATAATATCAGAAATACAATTTCGAGATGAAATTGTATTTCTGATCGGTCAATTGTAATCATAAGTACCTTGGCTACTCCCAACTATGCATTAAATAATTTAGCTTTGCAGTATGAGGCGGTTGAAAACGAGCATCTGGCAAAAAAAATTGGTTGCTGTAGAGTTTCACGTTTTAATCTTTCTCTCGAGCGAATTGTTCGTCAATGACGTGTGCAATGAGATTCAACTCAAATTTTATGGCTTTTCAATGAGAATATTGCATTCAAGTCGTTAAAATACGTTTTAACTTATGCTCTAAAATCTAACTTTTTTGCAAAATAATCAGAAAAACCAAGCTCAATGAATATCACCAGAGTTGACGATCTCATTAATTGGCAGCCTAATAGACTTTATTCAAACAAATGCAACTTTATTACCTTGTAGAAGAATCTTACCGGTACCTTGCTGGTTCAGCTCACAATGTTAGTACTGAAACCAATATGTTCAATAGTGAAGATGGTTTTTAAGCTGTGAAACCTTGTGTTTTTTGTTTAGGTACCCAACAGTTTCTGGAACTCGATTTCAGAAGCCGCTCCCAGCAGCGCAATTAGGGAGGGTTTCCATGGTAATTGGAAGTCCCTTTTTAAACTGTTAAAAAACTTAAATTTTAGTAAACCTTTAAAAAAAATAACTCAACAAAATAAAATTCAAATAATATTTAACTATAATATACTATTATTTGTTAATGTTTAAATTATTACAATTTGGAAACCGCCATTTGAGCACCCCTTTAGATTTATTTTCTAATATTTTGTTTATTGATTAAGGTGTTACATAGGTAAAAGATACTAAAAAAATCAATTTTTGAAAACTATACTTATTTTATTTAAAAACCACTTTAGATTCTATTTATAGTAATATTGTAAAACCCCTACCAAAAAAGTAAATATATAATAATAAATATGCACGCTTTGGGTTTCACAAAGTAAAAACCATGGATTCATAAAACTGGAAAGCCCTTTTTAGAAATCCTAATTGCGCAGCTGGCTCCGATCAACACTTAAGTGGATTAGGTCTACAGCTTAATAATACCGGTGAAAGAATCCAAATTATTATTATTCAAACAGATGGTAGAGTACAAGAATATAATGTTGTGAGACCAAAGAAAGAGTGTCAAAAAGGGGTGTAAAAAAGTTTTTACAAAGGGAGAATGTAAAATTTCTGCAAAAGAACATCAAAAAGGGTGTCTTTGGAAGATCTCGGCGAGGGTCTCAGGTGGTGGCGTGAAACCCCTCTTTTACATCTACTAATGTTATTGTTTTAACTGAATAAAAGTTTCACCAATATAGTCAGTATAATCATAAATAAGCAAACTGAAGTTGTTGTTACTTTCCTCGAACGCGTAAAATAAAGTTTTAATGTCAAAAAAAAGAATAATCTTTATAGAAGTTTTAAAGGTTTTCTGTAGTCAAAAAAATTAAACAATCACTTAAATGTTAAAACATCACAAAAAATTTGCATCGGATCAAGTATACTACTGGGATCAAGCACCTCACTAGGATCGAGTATTCCATTGCACAGTTGGAACATTCTATTGAAATAAGCGGCAAAAAATATGTTCGTTGTTTTTATGTGGATATAAAGCCTTAACTGAATATAATATATATTTAAGATAATATTTTTTATTTTTATTCTTAATGAGTTCATAGGCGCAGCAAGGAAGTATAGAAGGGAGGGGGGAATCTGCATGAGCGCTAGGGGAATCAGTTAGATCTTTTATATGTGATACTTTTGGGCATTTTTTAAATAATGGAAAACTTTTAAATGCTCTAAACTAGTTAGGTTCATACTTAAGTCAAAATATAATGTTTTGCAAAAAATTGTGGTGGTTGAAGCACGCAATCAAAAATACCCTCAAAAACTAGCCTTCCTCCTTCAAATATGAGGCCAATGAGCGCAAAAAAAATGATTTTTGCTGATAACTTATACTAAATTTAAATTCATTGACAGGTTTTAGTATTCATTGAGTAATCTTTTATTCTCTGAAAGTTATGATCTTGTAAAATTTACAACACCCTCATTTTGAGGACGGTGAAAACTTTAATATAGTTACAACAGTTATAACTTTCGACCTTTTTTTTTACATCCAAATATTTTTAAATTTCCTTTTCCTGTAGTTTTACAAGCCTCATGGATGTGTGATCC